GTTTTTAAAGCAAATTGATCATTTCCAACGCTTTTGGTACTGAAGATAGATTGAATAAAAAATATATTTTAGCCAAAAAATTGAAGAAAAATAAAATAAAATTACTTATTTCCTATGCACCCTGCCTGGTCAGTGGTTTGTGAAGAAAAATTTTCTTGAAACACCAATTTATCTCGCATTAAGAATTCAAGTTTGAATATTTCATAATACAAAAGAGGCATTTGCACGATTTGCTAGACGTGTTGCGGTTTTTTTTTTTTCGCATTAGTGACTCTCAAAGCTTACTTCTTTGACCATTTATTTAAGTTCACGTACGGTACATATTCTTTAAGACTCATTTTTTTACAATTTGATTTTCAATGACACATTCTTAAAAAATAATTTTGTACGTGAACTCGTAACTTTTTCCTTCTGTTTAACCATACATTTTTTGAAAAAAAATAAAATACTTTTCACAAATTATATTTTAAAATATTTTACTTCAAACATGTCCTAAGTTAAATATATTGAGAGTAAAATAAGCTCCTGTTTGGTACCCATTAAAATTTTCATTCTCATTCTTCTACTCATTTTCAACCACACATTTTTCATTAAAATAATATTTTTCATCACATCAATAACTTTTCCTTCTTTTTCATCCACACAATCTCTATCAATCTACTATTCCAGAATACATTCTTCCAAAATAATGTGGCTCAAACACAAATATGAAAGTAAAGTACAACTAAAGAAACCTCGAGTAGTTGGCAAAAATAAAATTTTGAGTAATAGATTTTTGGAGAATGTGGAGTTAAAAAGTAAGGAAAAATTTTGGATTTATATGTAAAATATTTTATTGTGTGATTGTGTGCTCGAAAATGAGTATGTTGAATAAAGAGTTTAGAAATAATAGCTGTTAAACAAGGGCTTGTTTTAGTAGTTAAATGATTTACTAAGTCCCCGTTTGATTTAGATTAAAATTCAATTAAAATTTTAAGTAAAAGTCAACAATTAATTTTAACCATACATTTTATGGGATCCACAATTTTTCAATTATATATTTAATCAACTTTTATCAAAATTTACTGATTTTAATCTCTACCAAATGGGGCTAAATTTTAGAATTGTTCAATAAAAAATTATTTATTTATAAATAAAACGTTTGAATTCATTAACCAGAGGGCGAACCAAAAAGCTCATAAAAAGTTGACATGTGTATTTCGTAAAACTGGGGTTCAAAAATATCGAGCTTTGAATTAATCAAACTCGTGCCTTTGAAAGCTTTGAATATTTTCCAAGAAAATTAAAAGAAATCTCTGTGTTGAACCACCGTCAAGTCTTCTGTCCACACGTCATATCCGTATTTGAAGCTCCATTTAGTACATAAACAGAGCTCATGCCTC